CGCACCCACGCGCGGCACCGCGGCTCCCCCCGCAGGCCTGGACGTGCCCAGCTCGCGGGGGAGTGAAGGAGCGAAGCCGGTCCCCAGCCGCTGCGCGCACCTCCTGGGGATCTCCTTCCCCAGGGAGCGATTGCGCGTCTGGATGGAGTCTGATTTACAGCCCCTGGCTCTTCTCTTGGGGAGGGGGTAACTTCAGGGGAGACCTGGCTCCGGCAGGGTGAACCAGGCAGCAGCCGTGGGGCCAGGTAAGAACACGCTGTCCTTTCGTCTGGAAGACACTCTCCCTCCCCGAGCCGTGCGGCCCGCTCACATACACTTGCTGCCGCTCTGGGCTGAGATCAGTAGCTCTCAAGCGTCGCGAAGGTTTGCTCAGGCTCGGCCCGTCAGGCCCAGAGACCGGATTTGGGAAATGAAATGACAGCGGGGGGACAAGGAGGAAGGAAGATTCCCGCCGATGATTTCATGAAGCCACCGAAATCTCCATGTTCTGAACTAGCTGTCCCTTGACTCTGTATCACACACGCAGTTTCTCAAGTAAGAGACTGTGCTTTCCCTTTCTCCCCATTGCTTCTACAGTTTTCATGATCGTTTGCCCAAACAGAGCTTTGTAAGGTTTTCCCCTCTTCCTTTCGATGTTCCCTCCAATTTTTCCATCCACGGGCAGAATAAATTTTGTTATATGCACAAAGGCTTACGTTGATGTGCACCACCAGTAGAAACACATGGCAGTGGGTGCTCCGTGGGTGGCACTTGAATCTCCAAGGGTGGACTCCTAAGCACCAAATTACATGGAACACTACTTTCCTCCCACAATTGCATAGTCACAGTTATTCCCTGTTTCCATCATGTATTATGACTATATCACACCCACATTATACACACAGCTATGTGTATGCCCATATACAGATCTAGATAGGCTCTACATTTAGTAAGAAGTTGAGAGGTGCATAAATTTAGTTTACTTCAGTAAGCAATTCCTCTCTGTTCAGTCTCCCTTTTTTCAGTTTCATTTTAAAGGGAGTTTATTTATTTTTAAGTATCTCCTTCTTCTGGTGAAGGATTGCGGCAGTGTATTTCAATAAGACATTTACAGTTACTCGGTTCTTTCAGAAACGAGGAGTAGTCCTGTGGCACTTTAGAGATTAACAAACCTATATAGACTCATGAGCCTCCGTGGGTAAAACCCACTTCATCAGATGAGTAATTTCAGAAATCTAGCTCTAATGTTTGCTGGGGGGAAGCCTTGGAAATTTTGCAAATGGTCATTCTAAAGTCAGGCTTGGATTAATGGAAGTTTGGCACGAGTCTCTGTGATACTTAAACAATGATGAATTGTCTGCAATCTCACCCTCAGACCCCAGCTAAATCTACTGTAAACTAATTAATTTTATACTGATTTGCATTTCTCCCAAATAAATGGTTATTATTAAGCACATATTCTGTCAGTCATAATACATTGCACGTCAACACCTCCTTCCAGCTGTTTATCTCACAGCACTTTACAATAGTTGGCTAATATGTCCCCTACTGTACACATGGAGAAACTGAGGCACAGACGTGTAAATCATTTGCCCGGTGTTCTAAAGGAGGCTTGCAGTAGATTGGAACCCATGCTGCTCACTCTTTCAGATGACAGCTAGCCTGGTGGTTCTTTGATTGGGTAACAAGATCCGAGGGGAAAGGTGGGCTGGCTATGTAGTGGTACAAAGGTCTATGCAGAGATATGTATTTCCTGTGGTAATTAGGACAGTTCAAGAGGGATTTCTCCAAAAATGACTCTGGCCTGCCATGGAAATGTCAGTACAACTCTCATGAAAAGGTTTGGCTTATGCTAAACAGGAAAAAAAAACAGGAGATAAGTAGCTAGATATTTACTCTATGACTGTTGGTGAATGGTGCCTGTGCAATCTAAATTAAAGGTCTAATACATGAGTTGAGAAAAGAGTGAAAAAACAGGGTTTCTTTAGGCTGGAGAATAGAAGACAGAGGGTGGGGATGAGTACAGGTTGAACCTTTCAGATCTCGGCCATAGATGTTGCTGGACCACAAAGTCCTGGCGGTCAGGAGCGGGAGCCAGCTGGGAGTCCCATGGGGTCTGGGAAGTTCTGTTTATGTCAACAGCTGTTGGGTTGGGTAGTGACCAGGTGACCTCGGCCGGGAACCTTGGGGATCCCCTGGTGACAGCAGGGCCTGTAGTGGCTGGGCAGTCCTGGCTGGGGAACCCTCAGCTGCAGCCGGGCAGGGACCTGTGCTCTGGGGAGCCCTGGCCGGGCCAGTGTCAGTGGAGGCAGCAGTGGGTGGGGAGCACCAACTTTGAGAGCTCCAAAGCTGGAAGAGGAGCCCAGGAGCAGGACAGCAGCCAGCAGGGGGTCATTGACCTCCCCAGTCCAGCAAACTCCCTAGGAGCCGTCCTGAGGGTGCCGAACCAGGGAGGCAAGAGGCGGGTAATTGACTAATTGTGTCGTCAATATAATTTGTATCAATGACATGATTAGTCGATGAGGGAGGATGCTCGGTCCCAGCTTATGTCAGTCGAGGAGCTACCCGCCCTGCCGCTCTGCAGCTTAAATGTAGTAAGATCCGGGCAACTCTTACTACATTTAAAAGGCAGAGCCGCAGTGGTCCTGGACTGGCATGAGCCTGGTCTGCCTCGGTCCCAGCTCATGCCAGGTCCAGCAGTCCCTGTTCACGGTGGCCTGGGCTGGCTGCGGGCAGAAGCTGATTCATGGCAGGCTCCCCTAACTTCCCCCCCGCCATGGACGGAGCAAAGCAGGTGGCACCGCAGATACAGTGGTGGTGGGAATCGGCTTTTAAGCCAGCTCCCTCCAGCACAGGTTCCTCTTCCTCCCCTTGCTGCCTCTGATTCAGAGGCAGCAAGTGGGGGAGCAAGCACGTAGTTGAGTACTTAGCTACCTGATAAGCTTAGGCTCAACTGTCACTTACATCCCTAACCTGAACTCAAAAGGCTGGTACAAGGAGGAGGGAAGAAAATTGTTCTTGTTCATTCTAGCCCATGCTGTCTCTGCTGAGTCACCATCACACCTGAATTCAAAGTGCTTTTCCTCACCTGTCCTGAAGAGCTCACATTGATTTCCTCTTTGATCCCCATAATGCCTCTCACCCTCATGAGGGCAGGTCTTCATCACGCCTACATTAAAGCGCTCAGCATTTTGTCTCTACTCTTCCCGTCCCCTGGCCAGTCACTTCCATTCATCCAGGCCACATCCCCGGTCCATGGAATTTCACTCTGAAAATCTCCTCTTGGGATTT